GTCTCACTGCTGGCTGAAAAAAGGAATGGCTTATATGGTACCACACATAGTATTCGCCACAATGATGTCTTTTGACAGTTTGCACTGATTCATATGTTCCACTCTCCATTTCTATGACAAGAGGATAATATTTTATGCTAAACTAGAATGAGTTCATAAGTAACAGCAAATCACTTTTATATAAAGCTATGAGCAAGAACATTCAAAATATGACCTTATTATTTACATACATGGTTTAGAGACCAGTGTTTTTTCCCTCCTGGTATATCTATCTCTACTAAAACTCTAGTCACAAACTGAGAATTTGTTTTTCTAATTCACTATATAGATCATCTTATGGTAGCTTAATTCCATCTTCTTTCAAGCCTCTTTGACACAGATTTCCCTGTAACAGAGCAGCTCATTTTCCCGTAATTAGGAAAAGGCTCCCTTTCTAAGAGTGACTGCTCAGCTTTAGTCAGGACCTGAACATGTAGTTTTTCAGAGGCACTTTAAAACTTCAAGCCTTATTCGTCATCTCCTATGCGACCATAAGTGCAGCTGTAACTACCAAAGCTTGGGACAACACTTCTACGTAGGACATTTATGCCTGATGAAGGGGCTGGCATTAAGTCCAAGTCACATGCAGAAAGCCAATTGCATGACAAATGAAACGTGTCTATTCATCAGAACATCAAAAGATACAGAAGTGCTTACACAGTGTACTATTTTGCTTTTAGAGTAGACATATTTTCAGTCAAATGATAAGTGCAAAGGTCTTATGAAAAAATGAGCCACAAGAACAAATTATCTAGCCTCATCCACTTCCCTATTTGAAAAGATTTCAGTGAAAATAAAAAAAAAAAAAAGGGAAGAAGAGAAGGAGGCAAGCAGGCAAAGAATGGTCTATGGGTTGACAGATCTGATTTGGTCTTCATGCCATAGGGTCTTTATCTAGTCTAGAAGCAACTGCACCTGAAATCTTTTAAGTTACTGACCATACAGAAATGCATGTTGTGACTGATCTGTAAAAATGCACTACTGATAAACAGGCAGATATTAATTATCTTGCTGTCTACAGCTATCATCTGCAAAAGTCCAAGTTTGTGTATATATACACGCAGGTACGTCTTGCCCACGGCAGATGCAGTCTTCACTGTTTGGTTTACCTTTGCTAGAGTTAACTGAACTAAGTAGGAGAGAATCAGCAAGAAAACATGAACTCAATTAATTCTTTCAAGACTGATAACACTTTATTCTCAAACAAGAATACAAGTCTCTTCTCATAAGCTTGAACATTCAGTATACCATTAAATTCCAGGCAGCAAATGAGCAACTTTGTGAAGGAAATTATACCAGTGGCTAAAATAATCAAGGTATACATGAAAGTGGTGAAACGGAGAAGAGTAAGACAGAAAAGATATTACTACAATTCTGTTATTCAGGCCAACTGATCTTCTAAGAGTATCTCTTATGCTTTCATTTTCTTTGATCTGCCAACACCAGCTTTTTGTTTGTTCTTCCAGTTTAACGTGTTCTGTGCTAGTTGAAGAGCTTTTAGTTATGACCCTCATTTGTAAAAGTAACCCTTGAAAGCATGTCTCACAGACTATCATCATTTTGATTCCATGCTAACAATGCTTCCTTTATGCAAAAAAAAGTTAAAATCCCCAAATTCACATGCATCACTCCCTTTTCCCAGAGCTCATCTGGTTGAATAACATGACAGGCTCTTGTAAAGAAAAACTGGAAAAAAAAAAGTCATCTATGTGAACTGCAGTACACTAATTATTCTACATCTAAAAGTAGAATAGAGGTGATGTCTCAAATCTAGATAGTTTGTATTTAAATATAGCAGTGTTCTTTTTAAGGACCTGGATTTCTGCATTCTAGGCCTACCTGTAACAACAGGCTTTTGAACTGTGCAAGCACAAAATAGATGGGTTACTCTGAAAGACAGAGGAAAAAGGAATTTTGTAAAAACAAACTATTGGATTAACCAGTTTCCTAATATTTTAGATATGTAAAAACAAATACATCCATGTGAACACTGATTTTCACAAATGTTAGCCCTACATCCTTGAAATAACAACCTTTGCAATTTCTTACTGGCATCAAATCTGTGCTGCCAAAAAAAAGGAACAAAAATCCCATGAGAATTCCTTCCTCCCCCATCTGATTCAGGATGAGCTGAGAATGGGGGAGAACTCTTTCCATACTTTACCAAATCACCAGAGAGAAAAAACAACGATCCCACATAAACAGAACTGGCAGGTGTACATAGAAACAAAAGTAGTAACAGCCATCTGAAAGATCAGAACAGGCAGAAGCTACAAGAAGTAATAATAAAGTAGACATGATTAATTTTACTAACATAATGCTGTAGTAGTGGCTGGTATCCTTTTTCTGACATTTGTATCCAAATTTTGTCATTTCATGTTTCCCTTTCCAGGGGATACAATGAATTCACCTATTCAAATATTTAAAATTTTTTTTTTAATATGAGACTCCCACTGATAAAACTTCCAAGAATGCATCTGAAGTCTCTGGATTTTAAAGACTTTGATTACAGTATAATCTATGGCTTTTCCTTCATATTTGAATATAAGGCTACTAATTCAATCAAAATTACCTATTCACAGTATTGTGTAATGTACTAAAAATAACCCTTCTAGTAATCAGCTTTCTCCAGTGAACAATGAGTATGCAGAAGAACAGTAATCTAAAGAGGATGCCATATAATGGACTCCCTGCTGTTTTTTGTCTCCTTCAAGTCATAGGGTATTTCTACACAAGCAAAAAATACAGTTGAACATAGAAAACAAATACAAGTTACCAGCAGTCAGTGGAGCACTCCTCAAAGTGTCATTTTAAATAACATGGATTAGAATAGCTGTGCATTCAGGATAAACTATGCTTGGGCCTCTACCCCCTGAATTTGGGATACTTTGGTCTACTTACTGGGCATTAGAATATAAAAAAAATATAAAAACTAATAAAAACAAAAAACAGCAACAACAACAAGAACAAAAAAAAAACACCCAAACCAAACAAAAAACCAAAACCAAAAAGCAACCACCAAAACACCAAAACCAACAAAACAGCAAATTTCTTTCCTAGTGAAAGCAAGCACATTTCAGTTATTATGTTTAGGAAAGCAATGCATTCTTCCCTTTTTATCCAAGTGATTAAGCAGAAAAGAGATCTTTCTATCCAAGATCAAATATTGCCTCTTTAAGCAACTCCTGAGGCCCTTAATGTTTTTCCTCTATGTTGGAAGAAAATATCTCTACATCTAGCAGATATGTTCATTGACATTTCTTCACTGCTTGAGAGGCAAGTGACACGCCTTAGCTCAATAACATCATAGCATGTGGGGACACAAAGACAGTCCAGTTAAAAATGAAAGCTGGTATCAAGGACAAAGCTCTAAAATGAAAGACCAATTCTTCCTATCGAATTTTCCCCAAGTCCCTGGTTTTCTTCAGAAGAGACTCAACTACTTAGCAAACACAGTCATCATAGGTTTTCTGCCCCCACCCACCCCAATCCCGTTTCAACTGCAAAAATTTAAAAACAAACAAAGCCCAGACCACAACAAAACCTGAGCACCCTCAGCATGTTTAAGAGAAAATAAAAACAATCATATTTTGTGAAGCAGACGATTCTTCCCCATACACAGACCACACTGCCGTCAAGAAGCAAGTTTAAACGTTTGATCAGAAAAGATGCAGTTTGCATTTATCTACATATTTATACAGAATCCTTCAACATTTCTGTTGCTTTCAAGTACAACAGAAACAGACTACTAGAAATAAAAATGCTCTACAGAAAAGCTTTCAAAAAGAAATTGACATAGGAACGGTTACAAAGCATTTCTTAAGATGTCGTATCCTACATCTGCCCAAGACTTTCACATGTTGCAAATTAAAGCTCATTTCTGTGTGTACCATGACTTGTGGAGGTGCAAGATTAGCATAATTGTCTTTACTCACAGGTAAAGATGTGTTTAGGAAGAGGTAGAGACTTAACATTAAGTTCAAGAACAAATAATCAAAAATAGTTTTGTAATGACACATTGTTACTCACCTCTCCAGGGCTTAATTCTTATGACCTTGCCCAGACATTGCCCCAAGCTATGATGTCCTGAGGCCAGGAACATCCTTTAGCAGCATCGCACTCTGCTTCTCAGTACAAGACTGCCTATCTCCCTCCCACAATCCTTATTCAATGTCTAATGAAAACCAAAGCCAAACTGGAAGCTAATAAAAGATATAAGCTTCCCAAATCAATCCCTTGGTGATAAACACAGCCACTGGTATGCATTTATTTTTATATTAAATAGTAGAACAGGTCTGTGTTTAAAATTAATTTACAAAGGATATAAAGTATTAATGTGCTTAGTAATTTCACACTGCATTGTTTTGCATGAAGACTCCTCAAAGTTATTAAGAGTAGTGTCTTCATTAAAGACAAGACTTACTAAAACTATGGTTGAGGATACGTGCCCAGTGTTATTTCTAACCCTGGCTGCAAAACTCAAATGTAATAACCTGGAAATAGCTTATCATGAAACAGTTTCGCACCTTTGTTTAGTCTTTCAGAACACTAACGCTCATTCTCCTTTTAATATATAACAACTTTCTACTTTCCAGGTTCCTGCTGTCCAGGAAAGGAGTAAAATTCCTTACAAAAACATAACTTTCAACTTCCAGTTTTGAAGATATAAAATTATAAGTAAAATTATAAGAAAATTGGTTTGTAACCATACTTACATCTAAGTGAGAAATATAGCCAACTGAGATGGTGGCCTTTACTCAGATTTGTTTTTTTGTTGCTTTTTTTTTCTTGTGAAAGGTAACTAAACATTTCTGAACAAGAACCATCAGATCCACTGAGAACCTACTTGCAGCATTTCAGCACTGGCCATAGCTGGCAGCAATAATGGATTTCCAGAACGCATTTAGAGTACAAAACTTACAAAAAACTTCATTAAAAAAAAGTTATACATAAACACTTACTGTTACTTCCTTGCTGTAGAATCTATGTTCACAATGAAAGCGTGAAGTTAGAGATGAAAGTTATTGCCTGTTAAGAAGTCAAACCAACATGAATATGTTAATTTAATATAGAATAAACTCTGAAATGCAACAGCTAATAAGAACCTTTTCATACCATAAATAAGAAATATGCCCACAATAAGGTCTATGTTTCTCCATCCCCCATGAATTAAGAATCACAAATGCAGGACAAGTGGAAATTATGTCTTAATAGTGACACTGTCATAGAACAAGCTAAGAAATGCTGCCTTGGGACTGCAGAAAATATCTCACAACATGCACAAATAAAAACCTAATGAAATGAAAAACAAGCTCTAACTCATTCTAGTACTCCAGCAGCAGACACAAATTACAATAAGAGCACATTTGCTTATTACGGGAAAAGTAAAATTCCAGGATTAGGACTAGATAATAAAGATATGCATAGGACACAACTCTGCTGACTTTTTAAATCATTGAAACCAAGATGATAGTTTATGCAGTTTATCACTTATCAGACTTATCAAACAGATCTGAGAAAAATACAAATCTGATCACATTACCAATACCAGTTCTTTATATATCTACAGTCAGTGACTAAATAGTGCAAAAATTAGGTTCTCTTATATTGTTATATTCCAATTTTGACATAAAAGGGAGCACTGCTACAGCAGAAAGTAACAGAAAACCAAACTGAAATGCATTTTGCATAATTTGCGTATTTTATAGGTAATCCTACTTGTATTTTCCCTTGCTTGTATAGAAACACCAATTTCTAGTAACTGAAATAGCAAACAACAGGAATTGCATTATACGTGGACAAAGTCAGGCTTTTAAGATCCATGAAAGTAGTGAAGCACACATTTAACTGTTTTAATACATAGTGTTTCTGAATTGTTAATGCGACTCCTTCGATGCCATAGTAGCATGAAAAATTCATGTCGATGTGCCCTCAGCTATTGAGATCCTAAAATTACAGAAGCAATATAAGGATACACACTGTCACTCTAGACTAAAATGATCTTTCCAAGTAAATGTGTTCACACCCAATAAAACACCTTAGTTTCAATTTTTGTTCTATTTCCCCCTCACATACAAGTTTTTAAGATCATTTAAATGGAAGTATATTTCATTGTAAACTCTATCAGTGTGTTACATACTTCATGTAACATAAAAGATAAGATTTAATACAAAAGGCGAGGCATAATTATCCTGCAACAGAAACACCATATTTTCAGTCATATCAAAACGAATTTAGATAGAATTCCATATTTCATTTTATCTGGCCTCCAGATCAAAATGGGGAAAAATATAAATTACACTAAGAGAGGTCTGGATAAAAGGCTGCAGCCAAGTTTAGACCAGCAGAACTTTGGACTTCTATTCTTCCTTCACACAAAGCAAGAACAGTATTAAATGAAGAAGTGCATGTTTTTAAGTCTTAAGATTAATTTCAGAGGCAGAAAGCTCATCTTATATGTAGCCAAGTGAAGAAATCATCCTGCAACCAGAGGAACAAAACTAAACTTAGCTACAATAAAAACTAGGAAACACGAAGCTCTGCACATAGATTATGGAATCACAGTAAATGTAAGTTTTTACATTGCGTACGCATGATTTAACAATACATCCGAGGTTAAAAAAAAATACCTAGAGCACTCCTATAAACTGTTTTCTAAGCTGCTGTGTTTAAGATTGGTGAATCATAAGGCTGGCTGTATTTTTCTTTTATTTTTCACCTTGCAGTAATTGCTAATGCTTCATAATGTTGACTGTAAATATAACATTTTTTCCTTTCCACTTTTAGAACAAAAATAGAATAACACACTCAAAAAAGTTTGTTGCTAGGCCAAGGATATCAAAATCTGTTAAAGTAGAAATGCTCTATTTACTTCATTGTCTGAATTATTTTCCACACATTTTATAGATCTTTCTGTTTAAAGCTAAAAGCTAGTTATCAGCACATTTTGTTCCTTGTGTTTTCTTTTTTTTCTCTTTTATTAAATAGGAAGGTATGGGTGGATGTTTATAGTTTTGGCTCAGGTAAAAGGCAAGGTAAAAGCATAACCAAAAAAGTGTATACACAATTAAGATGTGGGCAAGATTTAAAACAAAGCCAGATACTGAACTTCAGAGCTGAAATTTGTTCTTTTTATACCAAATCATAATCTACACTGTGCACATCTTACAATGCAACAAATCTGTCTAATTAATCTCTATAATTTGCAACCATAAAAACAACACCACCAAAAAACTGAAGTTCACATGCAGTTGTATGCTTTTTTCCAAGAACTGAAAACACCAATTATCATCAGTTACAGCAAACCAAGCCATATAAAATTAGAGGCTGAACTATAAAAATTTACTTCCAGTTTTACAATCCATATCCTCCAAAATACTTGCTTTTCACAACTAATCATGATGGAAGCTGTGCATTATTGAAGGTCTGTCTGCTTTAAAGAAGACGTTGGAGATGAGGTATTCCAAAGCAACAAATTATCAACATATCTAGTTAGTAATGAGCTACATTTATTCTTTTTGTCCCTCTATATCACAAATTGCTCATGCACACCACAGTGGGAAATGCAAAGTGCAACTTAAGGCTTGCAGCTTGCTAGTAGAGATGCAGCAAGGAGCTATTCTACTGGTAAGCCATGTAGAGTCAATAGCACAGCTCCAAAAGGGATATACACATTTAGTGAGAGCATAGCAATGTTTATTTAATTAAATGGCCAGACTATTTTCATGGAAGAAACCAATATAAAGACAAAACTTAAACTGAAAGACTGAACCTGTCCATGAGATTTGGGCAGCCTGAATAGGAACACTGGCTCAAACCGCTCTCTGCCCCTTGCCCCAAAGGGAAAGTAAAGTAGGACTTCCGGAGACGAGAGCTGTGCTACTCTTCCAGAGGAAATTCAGCTTGACTATATCAAAACCATTTCTTGATTGGACATATCATAACTTGTCTACTTGGACCATGATTTAAAAAGTACTTTAATTTTATAGTAACATGCCTAGAGTTAAACCACTTGAACAGCAAGACTTTCCCCACCTAGGGCAGCTGTAAATCTGCAGATTACAGCACGTGGGCACATTGAAACACTTTCCACCTGTCAAGCACATCTTCCATTTCAGGTCACATGTACTAGTGCTACACAGGGCACCTCTTTCAGCTTCATGAGCTAAGCAGAGAGCTGCCACCAATGATACTAGAGCACTAAGGAGTGTCTGCAAGTGACTGGTTAAAGGGCTGACAGGGGCTTAAGACACCAAGGTACAAGGTCCTTGCTAGGTTGCTGCAAGGTATCTAAGGTATCAAACTATTTGACATATCTGGTCTTCAACTTGTGGACATAAAAACCTACACACAAAATCATACAGAATAAGTACAATCATATCAAGTTAAAGCTGCTAATTAATGGTTAATTAAAGCACTTAAATGTTTAAGAGACAGCTGATACCTTTATAACCTCTCATGACAACTGTATGAACACACTTAAGTACAAAGGCAGAAAGAAATTACTGCTTTAAGGAACATTTAAAGATGAAAAAAATGTAAAAAGCAGTAATAAAAGCACGTCAGCAAAAGAGTCTTATAGAAATTATCTTTTATATGGTGAATCATAAAGAGGTGAAACTTTTTTATTACACATAGGCAGTTTATAACATTTATATGAACAAAGGTATGTCCCTGCACAATAGGACACTGAAAGGAAAACTTCACTCTACTCCTGACTCAGTACAGGCCCCATTTATGCTTCAGTCGTATTTCACATCTAGTCATTTAATACAGTCCCTCAGTCACTGTTAATTTATTCAGAAAAGCTAAAACATACAGATAGTGAGAAGCTGAACTGACTACATAGAAATACTTGTATATTTTTTAAAATACCCACACTGGTGAAGGGAAACAACTAAATAGGAATAAAATAAATTAAAAAAAAACAACAACAGAATAAGACACACACTATTTTTGAAGCTAAACATTACATAGAAAAAAGGTTTGGAACCAAAGCACGTCCTCAATACAACACAGAGCACTGCAGAGAAATGAGATTAGTAACTCAAAAGTTTTATTTTATCATAGAGATCTCAGTATACAGTTGCATCTGACCTAACAAATCTTACATTTCAGGGGCAAGGCTTACATTGCCGCATACCCACCACATCAGTAAGGCAGATGTATTATCATTATGCGATACAATCATACCATGCTACACTGCACAGAATCATCAAGATGCAGAAACTCAGGCCTCCACTGGCTCAGATGCCAGCACTAGCTTCCACTGAACAGTATCAGCATCCTTACCCTGTGTTGGGTTTTTATTTTTTAGAACCTGGTACAAATAATATCCTGAAGCCATCCGTACTACTAAACATACTGTAACTGCAGCACATTGTGCCCCCACTACTTTTACCTCCCTCTCCCCTAAATCATATCTGCTGTCTACCCATCTGATATTGAGAGTAAATGACCTACAGTCAGGACCAAACCTATTGCTTATTTTTGTTGGATTTTCAAATTTCCACCAATAATCCTTTCCAGAGGGGGAGAGCCCTCAGAGGACCGCAAGACTTCAAGGACTGCAAGTGAAAAGAACTTGTTCAGTCCTAAACTAAGCAGCCATTAAAGTGCATGTGATGGGTTGACCCCAGCTGGAAACCAGGTGCCCATCAAAGCCCATCACTCTCCTCCTCAGCTGGATAGGGGAGAAAAAAATGTACTCCATAAGGGCAGGGAGAGATCACTCACCAGTTACCATCACAGCAAAACAACCTTGACTTGGGGAAATCAGTTTAATTTATTACCAACCAAATCAGAGCAGAATAATGAGAAATAAAACCAAATCTTAAAACCACCTTCCCCTCACCCCTCCCTTTTACCCAGGCAAATTTCACTCCTGAATTCTCTCCTCCCCCCAGCAGCGCAGGCGGATGGGGAATGGGGGTTGTGGTCAGTTTATCCCATGTTGGCCCTCCTGCTCCGTCCTCCTCATGGGAGGACTCCTCACACTCTTCCCCTGCTCCCTCACACAGGAGGCAGTC